AATCGAAAGGTGTGTTGAATTTTCGAACTTTAGAAACGAAACATATCTCTTCGAAATCCAATAATTCTTTTAAATTCTTTTACTTTATTTCTTCGATTCAATTTTTCAGCGTAAAGATTTTCTCTTTCCTCTTTTTGAAAAGAGTTTTCAAATTTTCTCATAGTATTGATCTGTATTTCTAATTTTATCGATTTATCTATATTAGAATTATTTAAAGAAAAATCCGATATTCGTCCACAGGCACGATGATGAAAGTTGTTTTTCCACGGGATAGAAGGGGCAAAATCGTTGGATCGTAGTCAGGAATGGAAATGAGAAGGAATGGAAAAGAGGTGATCGCGGAAACTGCGAAAGTAGAGGCGAGAGAAAGTTCTCGTTTTGCGAGATGCGAGTCGCAATTACACCACGGGGCGATAAAAGTGTTACTTCGCGCTGTAATTTAGAAATATTTTTACGTCGTTTTGATTTGCCCGGGAAACGAGAACCGTGGCTAGTATAAAACCGCCACTTCGCCGTGTAATTTTCGTCCGCGGGTTTCCACGCCGCCACTGTTTATATTCTACTTTCCACGAGGAGAATGGTTGCTCCTGTTTTCCCTTCTCGTTGCATAGAATCGCGAAATTGGTCCATAAAAAAATGGAAGGTTAAGAAACCGTGGAAAGGAGCATCGTTCGCTAAACCGATTTCTTTCCCTTTCATCCCTCGTATCGGTCCATTAGAAATATAGAAACACGCGGAAATTCGTCGATCGTTCCGTATCTTTTTTTACCATTTAGACGGATACATAAAAGCTTGAAAATTCTTCGTGTGAAAATCTACTCGGTCTTCATAATTTTTCGCTTAAATTTTTCAATATACCATCACATACTTTTAAAGTATGTGCTTAAGGTTTAATTACACCAACGATTTTTTCATTTCGTTCCTCGAAAATTTTCATTAAATTTGAATGGAAGTTCGATAAATTCAAATTCTTCTGTAGATTGCAGACAAATTTTTTATGAATACGATTAAAAATCTGGACCTCAATTTACTTCAGATTATATTTCAAATATTTTTCTTGCATATCATTCCATAGATTCTTTTATATTTAAATTTTATACCAGTCAAAAAAAGGAACTATTCAATTATTTACTCAATTACTGAATTCTCCATTGTCACGATTAAATTGTCCTTTTTACGTTTCATTGGAATAAAAAAATTTCACGTCAAATTTCCACTAAATCCTTCACATTTTGCCCAAATACATTTCAACATTCATTCGATTCACCGAACAGAGATCCCGAGATCAGACATTCGAAAGAGAAGCAACAAGGCGTGCTGATTAAGCCTGCTCAATTATCCGTCGATTCTTCCTGTCGCGGGATCTTTTTTAAAGTAGAAAGTTTCGCTCGGGCACGGGAGAAGAGGAGCTATCGGCTTTAGGAAAGTTGTGCGGTGGCTCGTCACAGGGAGGCGTACAGTGTAACGGTGAGCAACGTCGACGCGGGTCCTCTCGTCGCCTAATTGAATGGCATTTTATTTAGCACAGTTCCCCGCACTCTGGATAGCCGCCATTTACCTCAATTACGTAATTCACCGTACACAACCGACCGCGGCAGCTACCCACCATAGGCATTGCATGGTGATGCCCATACCGATGCCGATGGGTCGGTGGTGTTGGTCGTGGTGGTGGTGGTGGTGATGGTGGTGGTGGTGGTCAACTGATGACACGTGTTTGCGCTACCGCCGCCGTGCAATTAGCCCCCCAATGTAATTTCGCGCTGGTAAGAGCGTGCCACGCTCTTTTGGCCTAGTACCGTACCTGAGGGCGCATCGCGTACCCTTGTATTACCAAGAGGGAAGTGATTTTCTTCGCGAGACGTAGAAAAATTCGATTTTAAGCACCACACCGGCGGCAGTTCGATGGTTATTTTTGCATCCGGTTATAACCATCGATGGGAGGAAACGGATCCTTTAAAACACGAATACTGGTTATCCTCGAGTCTTTGACCTACTGGTTAAAAATCCTCCCACAACTCTCGGTACCTGATATTTTTCGAATTCTCCTTTCTTATTACTTGGGTGAATACAATAACTTGAATGTTGAATATATATTGTTGAATATATATTTTTAAGATATATCGATTGAAATTAATCTCAAAAATATTGATTTCAATCACGTTATTATCGTTTTACGTTTATCAAAGATAAAAGCTTGTAGAAAAATAATAAATATCGAAAAATAGATTTGACTCTTGGATACGGAATCTGAATCGTCCTTTATGCGAAAATTAGTTCTTTCCATTGCGGTCGGATTATTGTGTAATTAATCTCACGATGCATCGGAAATAAATATTCGCGTGTAATTGAAGCATCGAGTAGGTGTGCGCTTACTCGGAACGTGATGCAATGTTAATGAACGGTATATTATCCGGCAACTAGTATCATTGCAGACGATACCCGCTGCCGAGCCTGGTAATTGTGTGTGCCAGCATTACTGATTAGACGTAATTACCATTTGGCCAAAGAAATGTCCCCCGTGTTAACGTGGCTGTCTCCACTCCCGATGCTTCCCCACTCTCGATTCTCACCTTTCTTCTATCGCGCCTAATTCTTCGATCTCGCCTTGGAAAACGATCATACCTGGTGCTTAAGTTTGTGCATAATTAAAATTATCCATCGATTAAACGGTTGGGTAAATTTACCGCAATAATCCATTCTTAGTTAAATCTGTGATGAACAATGGATCTCTGTTGGAAACTCTGTTGGAGGATGGATAAAAAAAAATTGCCGTCGGGGGAAGGAAGAGAAACAGAGAGAGAGAGAGAGAGAGAGAGAGAGAGAGAGAGAGAGAGAGAGAGAAGAAGTAA